GCCTCGTTGGATTTGCACAAATGCACGTGCTACGCTTGTCTCTGTTTGTGATTTCGTCGTCCACGGTTCGTCGACGACGAAATTTGTAGGAGAAAGCGGTTCTGGGGAAAACGTAAGTAAAACTTGCGTCCTCGAAGCTCTTTTTAGCGGATTTCAACTGACTTTTCGAAGCTGTGTGCCTGGAAGAGTCTTATATGTCGACTAGATCGCTTTGATGTCGAATAGATCGTTTCAGATTGAAGTTTTTGCTCATTCTACAGGCGCATTTGGCGAGCAGTGTTTACATGGCTACCTCGTGCCTGGCAGAAGAATCCGAGAAAACGTAAGCTACTGAGACAGCCGTGTATTTCGAGAAACTTTTCTGAGAACCTTTTGCATTAAATTGGCACCTATTTCTTTAATTGTTTCGATATGTTTTTTATTGCATTCAGATCGAAAAACAAGTACTTTCAGTGGACGACAGACCACGATGTTATCATGTGCAGGGAAGTACTCGTGAACATCATAAGGAAAATCAAGGTCTTTCGAAGAATGAAAGTCGTAAAGAAGAAAAAATTCTTCGTCAACAATGAAACCATCGTCGTAGCTTATTATAAGCGTATTGCCAAACAAAATTTATAACGACTCAAGATGCCGTCGTCTTCCCGCAAGATCGTCCGCTTAACCATCAAATTTTCCCTCCGAAAACCAAACCCTCGGTCCAGTCTTTCTCGGATGTAAAGCGTCGTCGTCGTCCCTTCGTCMTCGTTTCTTAAGTTCCCTATTTGCTTAACTCATGTTAACTGTGACTCTCAAATTTCCTCGGTGAAATAAATGTTACCAAATGTTCTGTTCTTTTGCAGCTGATCAACAGCTTTTAGGACACCATGACCTACTGTCCTGTATGATCCAAACTAAAGATAGTCAAGGGTAGGTTTTTTGTGACTTGAAGGGTAAGCTTACCTAATTTGAAACGGTCAAGACACTTTACTCTAACAGTGCCTCTCTCCTCTCAGGAATATTTTCCTCTACTAATACGTCTGATTTACACAGGCAGACCACCGTGTGGAGTGCAGGTCTGAATGGACAGATCGTTGGCTGGGATCCTGTGACCCTTACAGCTAAGAAAGAGGTAAGGTCTGAGAGTATGCTCTGAGGATATTAAAATTCCTAGAATTGGCTTAAGAATGGCATTCAACGCTCTGAGAACGGGCTGTGTGGGGTTTGGGGGGGTTGGAGAGGGAGAATGGGTCGGGGGTCAGGGATAGCTTTTGCTTTCCACATGTATACGAAAGGTAACATATTGTACAGGTTGACATATAGCAGAGGATAAGGAAAATTGACATCGAAGGATTGAAGAAGTCCCAGGCTTTAATTTACCCACAGTTCATTCAAAAGAAACCCTGGTTGAAGGTGTCCCTTTTTATCAAAACACCTTTGTAATCCGATTGTCTCCGTACGATATTACACGGAAGCTAAGTTTTGCTGTGGGCATATGGAAGGGATAGCGATTGCCATGGCCAAACCATGAGGGGAACCTTATTGAGCAATAGTCGTCTCTTTTAGCTTCAGGTCAAACTAGATCAAAGAAATGGCAAAACGCTCTACTCTATTGCTGAAGTTGGGGACACATTCTGGTGTGGTACGTGACGGTATTAACCTGTGTGTGGCTTTAGAACTGTTAATTAAGGCCAAGTTGTTCGAAACACGTTTGGGGCGACTGGATTTAACTGCCCTACAATTTTAACTTGAACAGCCTCATAGTTTTGGTATTCAGCTTAACCGGAACTGGTTTAACTGGGCTTTCCAACAACCTCGCCTGGGATTTAATGACTTTGACAAACCTTGATTCGAAATGTCACCACTTTTTCTGTTTCATCTGAGACTATCGAGGAGTACACGTAGAAGTGAATCTACGGCCACGCTATTCCTGTCGTAGTCAGAGTATCCCAGATGTCGGGTGATGATTTAAAGAAAAACTTGCATGCCCTGTTTAAAATCGGTTTGGTTTGTCATTGAAGTTCTGGTAACAGCTTGCGAATTTTGTGCTCCTGTAGAAGATGCTAGAATTAAAACCTCCTGAACTTGAGCTGCCAAGGGAAACGAAAACTTATTCGAGGCAGTAAATAGCTTAAGATGTCCTTAAATGGAATGGTTAAAGGTTCAGGTTAATGGGAAGTTCCATCAAAACCAGTCTGGGTTTAGTAACTTTTTAATTCAGGAGCAACTTTCCTCTGAAGGGTAAATGAAATTGAAAAGGTAATTTAGGTATCTGCATATCTGTGTAGGTTCAGGAACGTCGAATTTCATGTTTACCAGCACCCTCTTTTTTGTTTATTTCCATAGCAACTAGGTTTAACGTTGTAGTTATTAATTACAATGGAGACGATAATGAAGCCAAAACGTTAACTCCCAAGGAAGGCGAGCAGATGAGCGTAGACACCATGTGCGCAGTCTCTGAAAAGGAGGTGAGTGTTCTGAAATGGCCCCTTAAGGGAGAACTCTGTCTTAGGAACCATGTCAATTTTATCTCCGCACGCTCTCGGTTATGGTTGTAAACATGGGACAGGTTCGGCTCGGTGTGGTTTGTTTCCAGGAGCTTCCGCTGAACAACGCTAGTTCGGTTCAGTTCCTTTTTTTCCCTTGGGGGGGAAGGGAGGAATTCGTTAGTTGGCTAGTGTTCAGTTTTTGCTTTGTTTCGTTTTATTTTTGTTATTTCTGTGTCAGTTGTCTGCTTGAGACTTCTTAATTTAAGCCACATAATGATTGATCTTAACTTTTTTGTGGTTGTTATGATAAAAACGATTGTGTTTCTTTGTCTTTGCCGTTTCTTTGTTTTGTTTAGTTTTGTTTTGTTTTATTTTTCTTTATTTCTTTCTTTCGTTCTTTCTTACTTTTAATCACTTATTAATTCGATAATTCTCTCCTGTTTTTGTTTTTTTTTCGCTTTTTTGTATTAGGTTTGGACAGGGTGTGATAAAAAGGGCCTTGTCGTTATCTGGAGCACCAAAACCTACAAAAACAAACACCATACAGTTTGCGAGTGTAACGGGTTCACGTGCATGCTGAAAGTGGACGACAGAGTATGCAATAAATGATTGGTAGATTTGTGTAAACATGTAAGATAAGGCCTCAAGAAATTTGGTCCATGCGGAACAACGGGAAAGTCTGCGTCCTTATAAGTAGCATTTTGAACCTAATGAAGCGAATTTGATTTATGGCAACTTCATCTTCTGTAAAGCGCCTTCTGATAAATTTTGAAACATTTATGTGTTGATATAATAAATGTTTAGAATTCATCTTTTTAAAAGGGTCCCGTAGCACTGCCTTTTTTGTAATAATACTGGTGCCCCAAAAGGATTTTGGACCATTGAGCAGACGAAGTGTATGACGATTTATGTACAACCGATTTACAAAAACTTTCCGTGGCATTTTTTTTAACGAAATCAGCAAATCCATGATATCGATCGACCATTTTTTTTTAGGCGAAAAAAGTTTGAACCCAAGACTGAACTTCTTATCTTTCCTATTCTTATCTTTCAGGTCTGGGCGGGAAGCAAAAATGGTAACATCTATGTCATAGGCGTCAAACAATTCAAAGTGATCATGGTATGGTCGACCTTTACTAGTGTTACTTGATTTAGTACTTTTGAAGCTTTTTCTCCCAGGAGTAGCGACCAATATCTAACGTGTACTCAAGTGAATCAAGATTGTCTGAAAGCTTGCTGGTGTGTTTATGGAATACCATGATAGGAAATCATAACAAAGGAAAATCTGAAAGCCGTCTTTTCTTATATTAGAGATTGGGTCGAAGTGTGGGTTTTCTGAGATTGTAATCGGATGGGTTTCTTTTGTACCCTTGGGAAATTTGTCCCTTGCTAGCGAACTTTAAGGGTCGGTTTATTTACACGAGGTCTAAATCCAAAGCGCGGTTATACGCCAGCAATGGGCTTCAGGATTCTTCAGGGATTCAGGAGGGTTGATTTTAATTGAATAAATGTTTTTCTGTTGTTAGCTTTCGTCCCCCTTGATACTGTTCACTAAAATAAATTTTCAAATAAATTTTCAAATAAATTGAGGATGGTTTGGAACGTGGTTTTGTTAAACAACGGCTAAACTTTGTTTAAATAACCGGTCCCTATCATGCATTATGAAAGAATCAAATAGAGAGCGAAAATAAGTAATCTGATAGCGAGGGAGGCTGGCAGAAAATTAGAAATGGCTTCTCCTTAAAACTTACCATGCTCCGGCAAAAAGTATTCCTTGGTATTCTTTTTGTTTGTTTGTTTGTTTTTCACTTTGGAGCACTGGGAGTAGTTTCTGAAAAGGAGCGTAATCGTTGACAATGATAAATTGTTTCAGCTGCTTGAGGCTCAGGATCAGAGAATTTGTTCAAGGCCTCCTGTTCCTACTTTTCAATACTTTTGCCATAGCCCTCATTAGAAACCCAAGACTTCCCGAATTTTAGCCAGTGGTTTGTGTTTTGTTGTGTGATTTTGTTCGACATTAAAACGTTGTTACTTTCTCGTAACCTGTCCGCGCCATTTTGTTCTGTTATGCTTTCGCAACTCTTCTGTCAATCAATTTCATTTCAACTTTCTACATTGTGTGTGGGATGAATAGACGTTTTCTTAACCGATGAGCATGCTGAAATTTTTGTATGCATACTATTTTGGTAGAAATTATACAGTTCCTTTTCTATTTCATTTATTTTTATTTCAGGAGTTGTCTCTACACCAGGACCGTGTCCGTTCCATGTGCCTCACGGACGAGGGATTCGTTGTCTCGGGTCCCGGATCACGGGACGGGCGCATTGCTGTATGGAAATCTCATCTATTCGAAGAGTGCTCCAATGTGCAACACTCTAGTCACGAACGTTCAAAATTTCCCCAACAAATAATGGAAGAAATAAGCACTTGTGGTGAAGAAGGTGGCTTCGCACTTGTTTGTAAGAAAAAGACCGTGAAAGTCGACGTGGATTGCAACAAAATCCGCGACAAACCGTCACGACCGACAAACAAGAGATAAAAAGGTCAAAAGCACTTGATGAACTCTCGCTGTCAAAACTGACAAAGCTTCACAAATGTAGGAAGCCATCTTAGAGGTAGTTATTGAACATTTCCAAAAGATAGATATATTTTGTTCTGTTTTGTAAATTGGGAAACTCTACTTTACAAATCAATCAGGAACGCATTGCACAAGTAATGGAAAAGTTACCCTCTTTCTTTTAATTTCTCTTCTTCCCCTTCCTCTTTTTTTTGGTATTCCTTGTAGCAGAGCTCTATCTTTCGTAGTTAAATCATTACTTTATTGAGGAATGAAAAATTCATTCGTTTGAAAGGGAATAGACCATTAAAACTTGATATAGTCAGTTGAATCACGTTATGTACATTAATTACTGCCGGCAGTCCAGGTTTACAATTTTCTTTAGGAAACCAAGAAACGAGAATATGGTTTTGTTTGTTCTGTTTTTCGTTTTGTATACATCATCGCTTTTCTGACCGTAAGAATGTATTGATAAATAACTTCCCCTCGTTTTACGTGTTTATTTAACAAATAAAAGAGCTGAGATTACTAGATAGTGTGAGAAATTTTACTTTCAAAGTGACAGAAGATATTATTTACACATAAAACTTTTAAAGTGAAACCCTCGAAATACTGTAATTTACATGAGATTAAGTTGATTTTGCCTTTCCCGAGACGCTGTACATCTTGGGTTTTAGACGAATTACACACTCTCATAAGTCCACTCCACGAGCTCTACAGCTATAACAATTATCGTTTTGAAATAAAGGATTTGAATGGAATGTTGCTGTGCGACAGTTCAACAATAGTTTGCAGATGACTTCAATATGCGGTAAGACAAAAATAGTGGCACACGAGGTGCAGCCGAGTTTGTGACGGATGCGAGATAAACACGATACAATTCACGGTCCTTTCGGAGCGGATCTTATCAAATTCTTCCACTGTCGATCTGTATGTGATAGTTATGAAGGCGGGAAGCAATATGGGATATTGTTTCGTTTATCAAATAGGCGATGCCTCTTATTGACAGATTTATTTGATGACAAGAATCGTGATTGACATTAATTCTGTATATTGATTTAAAAGCGTTAGGTTATTATGTTTCAAACCAGTTTTTCAGTAGAATAGCAAAGAGAAAGAAATCATCTCATACAGTCTGTATTTAAATCCGCGTACCTGAAGAATCTGCTATCTGTTGTGTCAATATGCCACCGAAGTAAGTTTAGAAGGATGTTTTCTGAATTTAGCCATGATGAGATAAAACTTTGCTTTGCGTTTGTTCTGATTGTGAATTATAAATGTATTTCTTTTAGATCGAGTGATTATTAAAGTTTGGCTTGAGTTATGCGGTTCGTAGTGTTCATTTTGAGCTAACCAGTCCGTGTAGGGAAACGGATATAATCAAGTCAGCTGAGGGCGTGGCTGGAAAAACAAGGGAGAACAAAGAGACCTGTTCAATTTATCGTTAGTACCAAACGTACCGCAAAAGCGAAAAAACGAATAACACAAAACAAATCAACTATTAAACTGAAAAGTATCTCTATGCAGCGGACCGCATTTCTCACGCTGCACATTGTTTTGCAGTAGTTCTTAGACCTGCAACTGAACAACACTCGCAAAACGCAATCCTATGCTGAAACGCTACCACTTTTGTTGAGATACAAAGTTTAGGAGTCACCAATTCCCAGTTGATCTGATCAGAAAGTGCTGATTATATTCTTTTGTTCGTTCACAATCAGATGGGGCGCCTGCAAGCAGTTATATAGTGAAGAGGAAGAACAATGGCTCTGGATTTTGAATAACAACTATTTACAAATTTCCCCCGATATTTGAAAAGAAAAGGGAATTGAGAGTGATTTTTTTTTTCTATTGTCAGCCTACTGTTTTCGGCACTTGAAACCTCGCAAGGAATACTTCACTCTCTGAGCGCCGCGTACCAGCAAGTTTACTCGCGGATTATTGCCCGCTTCTCAATGAATGCGTATCACAGTGGGACGTATTGTTGTGTAGTCTTTATAAAAGATAGCGTCTCGCTGTAATTTTTGGGTGCATTGATTGGAAATGCAGTCAAATACGACTCCTATTCCATTTGTGAATCCGCTTTCTATTTTCCCGGTCAAACATAGTATTTAACAGTTTAAAAATTTCGATAAGGAACTTTCAAAAATCTCTGTAGTCCAAAGACATTCCTAATCTAAATATCGTGGAAGAAGGCCTCTTCTTTTTTAGCCGTTTGCGAGGAATGGACCATAGAATCGTGGCCAAACCCTGAAAAAGCAAATCGTAGAGAGTTTTCACTCCGTGCGGTCCTCCCCATCAAAAATATTTTGTTACCAGTCTCCCGCTATTCACTAATAATTCCAACCCATCATGCAACTCTTTCTCTATCTGTGTGAAATTCAAGATGGCGGCATTCCGGCGGTAAGTTACTTTACTGATCGATTTATATTCACGCGGTTGTGATGGTAATCTAGGAGAAAACAAGAAAATCCTTGAAGAAATGAAAATTTTGATGTACGTTTTCTCTTTTGGCGTATGAGTTTGATCCATTTTTTTGCTTCTTTTTCACCATCTCTCAAATTCTCGTCCCATTACTGTATTTGTTGCGGAGATCTCTCATGTACATGTCTTCTTAATTTCTCATATGGTCTGGGATTTGTACTTTTTTTAGCCCGGATCTTGGTCGGAAGGTAGCAAGAGTCACTTTGAGTTATATTTGGGAGCAAGAAAGCCTGTTTGTTTGCTGTTGTCTTCTGAAACAACGATGTAGAAGCTGCTTTCTCGCAAGAAACAGTATTAAAGAGAATATTGAAATTCTAGTCTTTGGTTTCAACTGATTTTTACAGGATTTTTTGTGATATCAGAACCCCATTCTTTTCACTGGTGTTTGATATGTCTGCCTTCCTGGCAACCTGGCCTAATAATCGACATTAAAAATCGCGTTCAGATGTAAAGTCAGTTCTTTCAGTGATGGGCATCTTTTGAACCATAATGCAAAAGCTCATTTCAAAACGAGTTGCAATGTAGGGGTGAAAAAATTAAGGTGGACATCAAACTAAAAGGGGCTAGTGCTAATTCAAGGTATGGTTATGGGAGGTGATTGGGATCATCATCCATTAAGGCAGTATCTATTTGGTTATGTGAATCTACCTTTAAATCTAAAATGAAATAATGAAAGAAGTGGCTGAGTCCAAGAGAAAACTAAGAATTGAGGGGTTTGAAGAAAAGCAAGTCACCCAGGATTTTCACTAAGTGCCAGCTGCTGGTGAAACTCACCATATGAAAAAGCGGTGATCACTGGCTGGATTTTTTGCTGACGATCACTTGGTAAAGCACAACTGGCACTTAGAATCCTTTGAGCCTCAACCACCATTGAGCCTCCTCATTGAAATTTCAATGAGGAGGTCTATTGCAAACTATAAGATTTCTTATCACCGTCTGTATATCCTGTTGGCAGGCTCTCATGTCTGGATTTCATATGTTGGCCCTTTTCCGTGCAGGGCTACCAATTTCACCAGCAGCAGCCACTTAGCAAAAGAGTTATTGAAACCTCTGGAATTGCATATTGCAATTGGTTATTTATCACTTTTGTTGCAACTATGCAGAAGTTAATTATTATATATTATGTCTGATTAATCTTGTTTCTCAATGGTATTTAATTTATAGCCCAAGGAAAAGCAAATGGGATGTACCTTCCTCTGAAGGAGGGGGTAATAATGGTAATGGAAACATGTCAGCTACTGATGCTGCAAAAGAGAGGGCTGCAAAATTGAATGCAATGTTGGCAGCTCAAGGCAAGCTTGCTAAAAGCAACCCACCTCCAGTTTTGGTAAAGCATTTGTTTGTTTTGTAAGAAGTCTGTGCAGTCTGGTTGTTTAAAAATAGGGACAATCAAGAACTTCTAAAGTTGTAGGAAGTGTCCATGAAATTTACCAAGGGCCTGTGGTAACTAGCAGGGTTTTTTTTAAGTCAGGGGATTTTGCTGTTGAAATTGCCACTTAGGTTCTATCCACAGAAGTTGGAACAATTTGAAAATTTTGTGGAGAATATTTAGAGGATAAGTAGTTTCATTATTTATTCAAAAATATTTACTTAAATAGTGAAATATCATGATTTTGCCATGTTCAAGCATTAAGCACTGGTAATTGTGTATACTAATTAATCCATGCGTAGTCAATTGATTTGAGGGAGAAGGATCTGTTCAAGTTAATTCAAATCAGGACAATCAACCGGATATGGTGTTTTTTTTTCTTTACATTTGTACAAAGAAGACCAAAGAGTCATCAGTAGAAGGTCTATTTTGCTTTAAATGACATAAATTCAAGCAGAATTTTTTTTAGACTTAAGTTTAGTTTGAAATTGGCCCTTCTCCTTGTTCTGTTTTGGTTCTTCTGCAAAAAATTTAAATAAAAGTGTGAGTTGACAGTGTCATTTTATTTTGCCATAATTTTCATTGTTACACTATTTGTTGTTTTTGTATTAAGGGCCATCCGTCACCAGCTGCAAAAGTGACACCTCCACCATCATTAACTGTTAACAATGGTGCCAGCAGTGTAAGCCAAGACCTTATTACAGCTGAAGTGGAAATTAATGATTCTGCTGCCCGGTATGAAAAAGATACCAAATATAAAACACTTTCAAGTGATGTACCAGGGAATTTCCTTAAAGTCTCTCGTATTTCTTGAAACTTTGGGCCCATGTCTAGGGTGAGAAATGCAAGCGGTGAATGCAACATGTAGATATATGTTTTGAGTTGATCAATGGTATACATGCATGTTATCAACAAGAGCAGTTCTTTCCAACTCCCTGCAAACTATTTGGATGCATCATTCAGTGTCTTTAGTATATTCATGTAATGATAAGTTTACCATGTTTTCACTTTTTTCAAATGTTTGTTTAATTGGATGGGAGATTGAGATATTGAATCTGTCCTTTGAATAGCTGAAATCAAGTGTGGAACAGTGATTATGTTGTTGCATCCATGCAAAGCTTTGTATACTTCTTGTCTTGTTTTATCATTCTTATTTATGAACACTTATTGATTTATTTTCATAATAATTTTTTGACTTGGCAGCACTCTTCTCTGTAAAGGCACAACCCAAGATGAGGTAGAAATAAGTTATGTGTATTAAATCAATTAATTTTTTTGTTTCTAAAAACTGGCAGTGCTGAATGTACCAGGTACAAAACATGTAAAGTACAAAGAAACCCTTGCTTTGCTGTTTGCATTAGTCAGAAGGGTGGATTTTTTATAGAGATAACTGCAAATAGGAGGCCCAACTTATACATGATTCCCTTTACGAGAAGAAGAAACCAGTCAAGAAAAAGTCAGAGTAGTTGTCCTCCAATTGAAAAAAAAAAGAAAGCAAAGTGGTACAAACTTTGAATTTAATGAAAACTGTAAATCATGAACTGGAATTTGGTGTGTGTCACATTTGGGCTCCTTCGCGGTCTAAAGGCCACATCACAATAGAATATTGCCAAATCAACCTATCGTTTTTTGTTTCCCTCATTCTTATGTCTTTTTGTTCACTTTTGTTTAACATCAAATGTGTCCTCTGCACAAAACAGGAACCTACACTTGCCATCAAAAATTGTAATCAACAATGAATTTTGAATGTAACATTCAATTTCAGATCAATCGTTATAGTGGAGCTGCTGTGTCCACAAGAGGAAAGTTCATGTCTGAAAATGAAAAAAGGGAAGCAGAAGGAACAGGGTAAACATGCCAGTTTTATGTTGATTGTCAATGGTATGAAACCTTTAACTTAATTCTTCCCTCTGGCTACTTCACATTTCCTTGTAAACCAGTTATAAGAATTTGGTGTTACATCAAGATAATAACCTCTGCCTGATAAGTTTGAGTATTCTCATTACCTGTTTGCTTTACAATGTGTGGATATTATAGGGAGAAGTCACATGTTCATCACTTCTGGAGGTTTAAGGGTCAAGATATTCTCAATAGCAATGAGGCAGGCAGTCCTCAAAATGAAATAAATTACAAGTTGTGAACATTGCATCAATTATCTGTTTAATAGATGAATGACGGTAGAAAAGTAACAGTGCGCCTACTGGTACCCCTCCCTTAATCCAACAATAATCAACTTATCACAAGTTAGGGCTAATGTTGGGTTAGCGGGGTAGAGATATGTGTGTTGCTCACTCAGAACTTATGTTCTGCTCAAAATGTAGTAGCAGTGTCTAAGTTTTAACCAATGTTCCTGTGATTCCACCTCCTTATCATCAGTGACATTTGCTAACTGAATCACTACTCATTTTCCAGAGTAAAACCACTATACCTATGTGTTCAAGGACTCACACAGGAAAAAGTGGATTGTAAGTTAAATGCATGAAAGATCATGCCTATTCAATCATTATAATTTTCACTACTGGTTTGTCTGATCTGTTAGAATTAACAAATTGAATATTTCTCTAGTGGCTGTAAAACGGATTCGAGAGATAATAGCTGGTGCAGATGTCAATGTCCCCCCACCCTCGCAGCCTCAGAAGATGCCTGTGACATCACCTGCCTCCACACCGGCTTGCAACCAACCTTTGCCAATGTTTGACAGACAGCCATTACCTCCTGGGGTAAGACTAAAGAGGAATGACTGGGAACTTTTGTGCAATTCTTCTCATTTCTTTGAATGGAATTGTGACTGCGTCTAGTCATTTTCAAGTTGATTTAATTCATAAACCTTGTTGCATGAACCATGTGATAATTCCAAGATCAAGGATACATTTTAAGCCTGACTTATATGGCATTTGCATTCAATGGTAAATTTTATATGAAATAATTAGTTTCCTTTTCAAGCTAAGCCAAAAAATGGAAATCTAATAGTCCTTATAAAATGACAGGGACCTCTTTGAACACAAGGCCTAGATAAGGTAAAGCTGCATTGCATTTGATATTGTATGCAGGAATGTAAAGAGTTACATCAAGGGTATTACTGACCTTTGTAAAGAAATGTACAATGTACACTTGTTTAAAAAGTATATACACACACAGATTTGGCAGGAGGTATAGCTTTTATCCTTTTTAAGGTTATCATTTTGAGCAGGTTGTATTGCAGCTCTGGTGTGTTTTTCATCACAGATGCACTATGTTCAAGACAAAGTTTTTGTTGGTCTGGATAATTCATTACCTGAGTTCAGTGTCAAAGAGAAGTTACAAGGACCTGGGGTATGTGGCAGACAATTGTGTACTAGTTATTCATATATCTACAATGCACAATATTATCTTGAAAAAGTGAAAGCATCTATAGTAACTGTCAGGAAAGAATCTGGATAAAGTCTTCAACTGAATTTTAGCAGACTAAAATGTGTCAAAGCATATAAATGTTGTAGCTGGAACCTCATAATGCACATGTGCCATATGAATAGTCCTGGATTAGTAAAGGTTTCACTTTGACATTCAGAATCATGTGATGGTGGACTATTTGTTATAATTGTATTGCAGGGATCATATTTTCAGCATATCACCATGCAAACTGGAGCAAAGGTGAGTGAGGGAACACTGGATTCATCCTTAACCCTTTGAGTCCCATGAGGGACCAAGACAGAATTTCTCCTTGCAATATCAATGCTATATCAATGCAATATCAATGCAGTATCAACCAGACAAGTGATGAGAATAAAGAAGAATAACAATTAGGGGATTATTCGTTGATAGAATGCCAAGTTCTCCAAATTGTCACCAGAATAATTACATGGCAGTCACTAAGGAGAATTATATGTACTAAGATCTAGGATGAGATTTTCAGTATTTACAATGTAGCAGCTACCTATTATCTTTCCAAATAAACAAAAGAAAAGCAAAACAAAACCACCAGAAAAGAATCAAAGCAAAAAAAAGAGGCAAGAAAACAAACGGCCCAAACCTTGATTTTCCTTTATTCAAAGAACACTATTAAGTGCACATGATTGATTTGATGACATGTGGTCAGTGATCTTATATACTGCAACTGTAATGGTATTAATTGTCTGTTTAGTTATACATTATTTTGGGTTGCTTAATCTTTTAGGTTCAACTTCGTGGTCGAGGATCTGGCTTTATTGAGCCTACATCTGGAAAAGAAGCATTTGAAGCACTTTACATCTATATAAGGTAAGCATAATTATCATATATATATATATATATATGTATGTATGTATTATTTATTAAAGCATTTTACTCCTGTGAGCAAATAGAAGGTGATTCTAGAGTAGATGTAGCATCCTGCAAGTTTTGAGTAAACTTATCACTGCTGGTCATGAAAACTGGATTAATTCTATAGTTTAAATGAATGTCGCTAAAGACCAAGAATGATTTATACCCTTTAGATAACTAATCACATTCAAGTTGTGCCATAACAACAACTGAGTGTATGTTATTCTAATTGCATGATCAACAAGCCAGAGAGATGTGAAATTGTATTTAAATGAAAGTCACAATATATAGTACAGCTCAAGTTGTTGTACAGAAAAGTTATTAATATAATAATGTATCTTTTTTGTCTCATCTCTGTTATTGTCTTTGCTCTCATAGTCATGGTAGAGTTGATGGTTTAACAGCAGCAAAGACATTAGTGGAAAATCTCATACAAACAGTAAGTTCCTAGTGGTGTTTTTGGTTTGCTACACACAAAGCAAATTAATGATCAGCATGAAGTTGCTTATATAAGTGAATAAAGTAAACTGAATGCTGGAAAAACAGTTAAGGTTGAAGATGAATTAACTACAAGGATTTCCAGGTTGAGTCTTTGGAAAGCTGTAGTCATGTAATTGGTATTTTTGTGGCAGTGATGATCTTTATGTGAAAGAAGGAGATATGGAGTCTAGGGTATAGCCAGCTCTATTTAACTGCAAAGCCAACAAAGTATTTCAAACTGAGATTACTGGTAGTCATGATTTTAGTGATTCACCATGCGGTACACATGTCAACTCCCTTAATAACCACTGTATAACTCACATCACAGCACTCTTCCTGCTCAATAAATGCATTTTGCACTGTAAGAGTGGGAAAGAATGTCCTATATGGTCATCAATGGTGATACTCAATAGAATCACATCATTGAATAAAATCTCGCTTTCTGATTGGTTAACGAAGTGAGGTATTTAGTGTAGAATTGCAAGTTGAAATTGTTTTGCATCTACATATACATATCAACTATAAGTAATACTGTTTACTTTTGTGCCTTAAATTGCACCTGAAAACCAATATCGCACTTGTCGCTTCACAATTCGCACGGTATCAGTTTTCGTGTGCAATTTAATGTAGAATTCCCTTGTCAAGTAATGAATATTCCTATAGAATGATACACTCTATTTAGTGATCATATAAAATGTTTCTTAGGTTCACACAGAATACAAAGCATTTGAGCAAACAAGGAGAACACACTATGGGTATTCACCATACATGAATGGTTAGTGATTGGAATGCAAGTGATTAAACCATAGCAGTAAAGCTCAACTCAATAGAGGAATGCCAAAGTCATTTTGCATTTTATCTTAGGGCTAAGCAAATTCTGTTACTAGTGCTTACTCTTACAATAATAATAAGTATTCATAAATAATAAATAATGACTAATTTCCTAAGTCAGAATTGGTTCTACTTATTTTGTTTGGTTTGTACAAAATCAATAAAAGTAGAATCTGGAATGAATGCAAACTGTGTAGAAAAAGCATTCGAACAAGAACTCCACAATTCATGTGCAATGTACTTGCAGAAAAAAATAGTCCTTCTGTTGTTATGGTATTTTCTCAACCGCCAGAAAGATACAACTCGTCAACTCAACTACTTTATTAACTGACGTAATAATCTTACTACGGAGCGATACCATAACCAATACAATAACTATCCTCTTATCTCAGAGCCTTCTATAAAACTATAACCTCAGTACACTACTGTACAACTCACAGTTCTCTTCAAAAATCCTCGTAACGTGTCAGTGTCCACTTAAACCTTCTCCAACGTAGCCTTCCGCACAGCTTACGATTCCAGTAACAACACTAGCTCCTCTGGGCTCTTCACAACAGTACTAACTTACTAAAAAAAGGTCCAACTTTAACCGATCGCGCCTCCTTATATATCTTTTACAACATGTTCTAGAAACTTCTTCAGTTCTATTTTTAGCGATTCCTTAACACGACGCACTCTCCATAACACTGTGGGCTCAAATGGATTTTCTATAGATACTGTAGGACTTGCACATACAAGAGCGGCAGTTTCCATAAAGGACAGTTTCAGGCACAGCCACCTATACCTGCTTATGGAAAAAGTTATTGAAACCCTTGCTCGAGTCAGATATATTTGAAATGTTGTTGTTTGGTGCTTGGTTAACTTAGTTACGCACAAATGTTTTTTTTCTTAAGGTTACCGTGCACCTTCAGGGGTGTCTTGTGTGCAAGCGATGTAGTGCGTC